TAGTATTACTTATGACATCTAAAGTTCTTACAACACAGACTTGTTACAAAGTGTGTACTGTATTTGTTTTCATCCAAGTTAGTATTACTTATGACATCTAAAGTTCTTACAACACAGACTTGTTACAAAGTGTGTACTGTATTTGTTTTCATCCAAGTTAGTATTACTTATGACATCTAAAGTTCTTACAACACAGACTTGTTACAAAGTGTGTACTGTATTTGTTTTCATCCAAGCTAGTATTACTTATGACATCTATAGTTTTTACAACACAGACTTGTTACAAAGTGTGTATTGTATTTGTTTTCATCCAAGTTAGTATTACTTATGACATCTATAGTTCTTACAACACAGACTTGTTACAAAGTGTGTACTGTATTTGTTTTCATCCAAGTTAGTGTTACTTATGACATCTATAGTTCTGACAACACAGACTTGTTACTAGGTGAATTTTTCATTGTTTAGAAGTTAGAATTCTTGTGAAAAAAAGATGTCTTTTGTATTGTTGCTTCCCAAAATGACTATATAAGTAACACATTATAAAAACGTTTTCAAAATAGGCATCACTGTTTAAAAATGCTAAAATGTGAACTTAAGTGTAAACTTTACAATATTTTTTCTAAGTATGAATATTACTAATTACAGCTATCTAAGCTTAATTTTAAAAATTTGAAATGCTTTTAACTGATTTATTTTTGTCACTTGCATTACTAGAAATAAAGATAAAATAAGCTTTAAAATTGCTGGATTATGACCCAACTGGGCTGATCATTTACAGAATAAGTTAGCATTATATTAACATTGTTTGAATTACTTAGATTATTTTAGTACTACTTACTATATTAGAAGGCCCTCTTTAATAACAACAAAAAAAAAAATACTGAAAATTTGGTTACCGTGTTACATATCTAACTTTTAAAAAGTTAACTGGTATCATACGATTGTAAAAATGAAGCATTAATACATTTAGTATGAAGTTAAACATTGTTACTTGTTAACAAAATATAATATTATTTAAATTGACTTTCTAGTTTTGTTCTTATTCATTCCCTAATGGTTTTTAAACTTCATAAAACAATGTTATAAATAACAAAAGTTTTATTTTACAAATCAAATTGATTTTATTCTAATGTTTATGCTGTTTGATTTTAAATCTAGGCTACTTCAAGAATAACAGGTCTGGAAAATATTACACAGTACTGTTGCAAAAGGTTACTGATAAGTGAATAAATATTTTATTGTTTTTAAATGTTAAACAATGTAGTTCCACCGTGTCTACGACACATATTCATGTACAAGGTTTAGGATTAAAAAAAGTAACTCACAGAAAAGAGGTAATAAGGTAAACAAACGATCTGTTACAGTTACGGAAGTAGTTGCAACAAGTAGTAAGAAAAATTAACTATAAACAGAGAAGGAGTAGCATTCACAGAAATGTTGTAACATAGTGTAACGACGACAACTTTACTTGTTTATAAAAGGAGTAAAACGTATAACTTTACAAAAGCAGTTGAGCAAGAAGTATATGCAGAAGGAATAGAACTCAGAGAAAAGTTGTAACATGGAGTAACAAAAACAGCTCTAATTATTTATAAAATGAGTAAAACATATAACTTTATAAAAACAGTTGTTACTTCTTGCTACCAAAACAAATGTAACTTTCACAATTTATACCTGTCAAGTCCATTCTCTGAATCTGATCAAAGGTTTTTGGTTCTTCAGCAACGAATGGTTCAGGCATTAAAGGAACTTCATATGCCAACAGACTACCTCCTGTTGTTATTCTTATCTTTTGATCATCGAGGAATAAACTCTGTGAATGAATATTAACAGGATCACCACCCTAATAAAGCCTGACTGGATAGCAGATAAACCTTCTCTCTCTCAAACCATCATGTTACTTTTACACTTTTTATTTTTGTTTTTCAGAAAAAATACATCAAAGTGCTAACCCTAGATCTTTAAACACGTCAAGACAATTTATTTTTATGAATTTCTTTCCAAAATTCAGAACTCCATTCGACACTGAAAAATGTTACCAGATTTCACATTTCTTTAACCCACATCCCCCATTCAGCACTGAAAAATGTTACCAGATTTCACTTTTTTTTAACCCACATCCCCATTCAACACTGAAAAATGTTACCAGATTTCACTTTTTTTAACCCACATCCCCATTCAACACTGAAAAATGTTACCAGATTTCACTTTTTTTTAACCCACATCCCCACTCAACATTGAAAAATGTTACCAGATTTCACTTTTTTAACCTACATCCCCATTCAACACTGAAAAATGTTACCTGATTTCACTTTTTTTTAACCCACATTCGCATTCAACACTGAAAAATGTTACCAGATTTCACATTTTTTTTTCCACTGATTTTCAGGGCATACTTTTAATACTTGTTTAACTTGGTAAGACCATCTTTTTGAAATAATGACAGTATTTTTTGCAAGTAACTGTTTCAATAGGTAAAGATCAGTAACAAATAGAAATAACTGAGGAAAATAAAACAAGTTAAGACATTATTGGATATATAAAACGGAACTTTCTGATTAATAACACAAGCCAGCCTAGCATCTTTTAGTACCAATCCTAGGATGGTCAACAGGGATACTATTCCAGAAACCAGTGATTTAGGGTTATTTCAATAGATTTGGATGAAAAAAGCTCAGCACAACTTATAAAACAAAACAACAATTAAATATTAACTCATTAACTGTGGCAGGAGCAGCTCAGTTGCCGTTTTCTGACTCGCAGATAAAACTGAGTTGTCATCAATCACAATAAAATGGTAATTATTGTCATTCGAATAGAGTTATAGTTATATATGTGCAACTGACAGATATTTCTGTCAATCGCAGCTGAGCCATAGAACTTCAATGACGGAAATATCCGTCATCCGCAGTTAATGATATTTGACATGATGAAATCTATATGGATTATTCTATGGTGTTACCATACTGGGTATTATATCATCCTTCTTATATTTACTCTTCATTGCAGAAATGGCATTTTTAATTTGTAATTCATCATGCATTTCCTTCAATTCCAACTCTGCATATTTGGGCTTCACTGTGCCATTAGTTTCACAAAATACTGAAACTAATTATTTTTTTATAAATGATTCCAATCCTACTTTTCGAAGATAACGATACTGTTCTGCCCATTTCTTTAACGTTTTGCCGTGAATGTAGTAATCAGTTGACGAATCTCTGATTCAGTTTGTATGTCAAATTGATCGGGATATCTCCAGATAAGTTTTTCCCTCATCGGACACGGTCCCAAGGTTTAGCTTAATAATTATACTTAAACCATCACATTCACAACCACACTTAGAAAATTTCAAGCATGTTTCACTGCTACATCGTTTGACTTTACACTTAGAAGTTAACTTCTCCATGTTGGCTCTCATGGTCTCGGGTCCGATCCAGCAACCTAGGCCTCAAAAATAGTGCCACACATGTTTTTGTCTAATCAAATGAACTCAAACCTTTCCAGAATGATTCATTTCTTTGGATCTACATCAAGATGCCAGGCTGGCTTTTGTGGCAGGTGTTAAAAACAAGTTTCTAGTCTTAGTTTATTCTTTTATATTTTTAATAGTTCCTTTCTTTGTAGACAAGAGATTGTGTGAACAGATGAGACAAGGATTATACTGTTATTAGAGCAAATACAACAATTATAGTTTACTATAAAAATAACTACTGAATACATTTACACGATTTCAGAAATACAACAAAAAAATGAAACAAAGAAAAAAGTATTTTGTATTTTAGTTTCAATAAAATTTTTAAAATTCACTGCCTAAAATATGATACAACTATTAAATCAAACTTTTTATTTTTTTAAAACACAAACTAAATATTATGTAGAAAGTATGTACCCAATTTCATGCAGTTAGGTTAAACATTTTAAGTGAGAGAACATAACAAACAGGAGTATACAATGTTACTCTGCCAGCTAAGATAGGGTTAAAAAAACTAAAATATGGAGCATTCTGACAATTAAGAATTAGTGCATGACTAAAAACTGTTTACAAAAATCTCAAGTTATGTTCTGACACCCAACAATAAAAAAACATGACTAAGTCCTTCAAAAGACCCTAATGTGTGTTCTTACACCTGACAGAAAGACTGAGCATGACCTTAAAGTATTTTACAGAGATCCTAAGGTATGTTCTAACACCAAAAAGAAAGACTAAGAATGACCTTAAGTCCTTCACAAAGATCCAAAGCATGAGCTTAAGTCCTTCACAAAGATCCTAAGGTATGTTCTAACACCATGACAAAGCATGAGCTTAAGTCCTTCACAAAGATCCTAAGGTATGTTCTAACACCAAAAAGAAAGAC